CATTTGTACAGGTGGGATTTGCTCTTATCTGCTTGGCTTTATTACCCACCCCAAGTGTTGTTATTTAACCTTTCTTGTTCCAAAGTGCTCTCGAGAGTGGATCTTAAGCTCCTTCAGGGCAAGAATTGCTCATAGGTCCAGAACATTCTTCCGCACATTACAGAGACTCACTGACTACAGAGAATGAATGTTGGTGTTGAATGAATGGGAGGGGGAGAAAAAATAAGCAGACAGACCAAGACAAAGGCTTCTCTCTTCATTCTCCTCCATACACATGCAGTTTATTATTCCTGATAGCACTTCACAGAACACCAGGGTTGTGCATTGTTTTTTGCTTTCCTGTGACTTGCGGGTTTGTTGTGTGCTTTTTCGTGGGGGAGATGTGGGCAAGAGTCTATTCATCCCAGATAGGGCATTAATGATAGACCAAAAAACAAAAACAAAAAATTAACAAACAACAACAGCAAAAAAACCCCAAAACAAAATCAAAACATTGCACTGAAGTCTAGATTAGTGAACTGGTAAGTTTAGCTGGGCTTACTTAACAGGAGCATGGGAGACTGGCTGAAAGGTGGCAGCATCAGTGTAAAGGCCACCCCAGCTTGGGTGAGGACTCAGTTCAAGCCACATCCCTGGAACTCCTTAAACTGTTGGTCGACAACTGCACTGGAGTACACTCTTCCTAAGAAAATCGTTTGCTGTGTGCCTAACCTTAGAAAGTGGTCTTCTGAATCTTGTAACTTTTTGAGTAAATTTAGTTAACTTCTCAAGTATTAAGAGCCTCCTGCCTCACTCTCTCAAGAAATGTTTCATTTTGGAGGGAATAGCTACATACAACAAGGTTTCATTGTAGATAGATGGCAGAAGAAGATTCTAAGAATGACCTGCTGGAGGAGAAAGTGGGCAGCCCAGGTTTAACTTGAGAGTTCAGTAAAAGAGAAGGCATTTCCCGTGACCTATACGCTCCAAGAAGTCACCTGAGCTCATAACTGGAAAGACACTCTGGCCCAAAGAATTTAGGAGAATATCTTTACAAGCAGAGAGGTGACTCATGCCACCAAACCAGAAGATCAACTATCTGTCTTAAGACTCAAACAGGCCTGAAGACAAGGAGACGGAGTTCATATAATTATACCCTTTTATGGCCAGCAGGTATCTCAGAGACTATTGTCAAAAACAGCCCCAAGAAGCCAGGTAGACTTGCATGTCTTTTATCCCAGCATTCTGGAGGCAGAGGCAGGTAGATTTCTATGAGTTCCAGGCCAGCCTGATCTATGTTCTGGGACAGCTGGGGCTACATAGGGAGACCCTGTCTCAAAACAACAACAACAAACAAACAACACCCTCCCCCACACACATACATATCTACCAACTCCCTCTATCCTTAGCCCTCCTCCTGTTGTCCAGTTTATCCCAGACACACAAGTCCTCAAGTCACTTCTGCCCAACCTCACAGCTTCCTTCCATAGCCCACTCCTGCCTCCCACCCCCTGCCCAGCCTCCTCTCATCTCCCTCTCCACCCAGCTGTGCTCCCAGCCTCTCAGGAAACTTCTAGAGTCTTTGTGGATTCCAGGTTCCCTTTTCACTGTGTGCCACTAAGAATTCCTTAAGAGCCCGTGAGGAGGCTCAGCAGGTAAAGGGACTGGCAGTTGAGACTGAAGTCCTGAGTTGGACTCCTGGACAAAGGCCCACATGGTGAAAGGAGAAACCTGGCTCCTGCAAGTTGTCCTCCGACTTCCAAACACATGGCACGGTGATTGAGTTTCCAGTGCTCACACGTAATACACAAATAAGTCAACAATTAAAAAAATACCACCTTAAAAAGCAAAATTGGTTTCTTCTTGTCAATGTTTGGAGAAAAGCAGGCTCTCCCAGCAAAGAGATGCCTAGACACTTGTTTGAAGATTTTTGTTGCTGTTTGCAAAATTGAATCCATCATTTCAGTTTAGTTCTTGCTTGCTTCCTTATCTATGGGGACAACAGTCTCCTTGTATTTATTCAGTGCTTACTATGTGTCATTTTGTTAGGTGTTGAGGGGTGTGTTTGTGTAGAAAGGATTAAGACCCTGCTATGCTGTCAAAGAGGTGGGTGTGGGAGGCAGGACTCACAGAGAGAACAATGGGAGGCAGTATGTGATTCAGAATAAAATAAGTAGTGCAGGCAATAAATGCTATAGAAGTTTCCAGGAGGGAGAGGGATCTGGGGACTGGGTGGAGGATTGAGAAGAGTGTGAGTTTCTGTGGGTTTGGAGGGGATGGTTTGCTTCTTCAGATGTAGGAGGGCATGGGATTAGAGTGTGTGTGTGTGTGTGTGTGTGTGTGTGTGTGCACATGCAAAGGGGCCTGGCTTGTTAGCATCAGTATTCAGTGGATACTTTCTATGTATCAGACACTAAATAATGCTTTACAGAGTTCAGTTCATTTGAATGTGCATAACCCTATGAATTAGATAGCACTGTCTTTCAATTAGTATAAGAAATAGAAGCAATGAAGGGTTGAACAAATTACCCAAGGCCACAAAAGGAACTGGCATAAATAGGATTAGTTAGAATGTGCATCTTTTCACCATTTTTTTTTAAAATAATTTATTTATTTTATTTCATGAGCATTGCCTGCATATATGTCTGTGTGAGGGTGTCAGGTCACCTGGAACTGGAGTTACAGACACTTGTGAGCTGCCATGTGGGTGCTGGGAATTGATCCAGGCCCTCTGGGAGAGCAGTCAGTGCTCTTAACCGCTGAGCCATTTCTCCAGTCCCTCTTTTAATCATTTTTAAAGATTATTTTTATTTTATGTGTATGGGTATTTTGCCTTTATGAATGTCTGTATACCACATGCTTACCCGATGCTCTGAGATCAAAAGAGGGTGTCAGATACTCTGGAGCTACAGTTACACATGGTTGTAAGCCACCACATGGGTGCTGGGAATTGAACCCATGTCCTCTGCAAGAATAACAAATACTGTTAACCATCAAGCCATCTGTCCATCCCAGAATGTACACTTCAAAATCATTTGAAGGGCTAAACAGATGGCTCAGCACTTAAAAGCACTGGCTATTCTTGAGGGCCCAGGTATGATTCCTAGCAATGACATAGTGGCTCATAATTCAGTCCTCTGTGGGCACCAGGTACGCAAGGGGTGCACAGACATACATGCAGGCAAAACACTCATGCATATATAATAACAATAATAAAACAATAAAATATTGAAGAAAACCCACTTTGTCTAACCAATGAAAAAAAGAAAAAGGAATTTGTGCCTTGTGGTCAAGAAGTTGGTTTGGTTCCAGTCAGTAAAGACGGTCATTTTGCACATACAGGAGTGGCTAGGCCAAATTCCCTACTAAAGGTCAGTATGTAAATGAGAGGGATTAATGAAGCCATTACACTATACCCTCATTCTTACTTCTATGAAGAGAGGAACTTGAGGCCTCCAGATGCTACATCCCACCGCCAGGAGCTCACTCCCTTTGTTCTTTGGTCATATTGCGTATTGCTGAGATTTAGCAAAAACACCTAAGGAGAGCCGGGCGAACCTCTGAACCGCTTCCTGTCTGTTGCCATTCTTTATTAATTAGCACTTGGGAAACATCATGCCTATGGCGGATGCTTCACAAAGCTTGAAGTCAAACAAGCTTGCGTGGCTGTATTTGTTAGGTTGGAAAGGATGGGAGGGTATTGGCCTGATAATACAGTCGACTGTATTTTACATTTTAAGACTGGCATGCAGCCAACATCTGAATGCGTTTCCTAGGCAAGGTGCCTAGCTGGGGTTTTTCTGGATATTCTTCTAGCTTATGTGAGCTTTCAATAAATATTAAACCAATATGAGGTACATTCTGAGTAGTCCTTTCCTTAATTCCTGATCCTAAGAAGAGCCAACACAGTCAGTCATTATGTAGCAAGTGCCCCTGGGCACTAGCTAGCACTCACTACATCCTGGCGCCTGCCTCTTTCCAAGGCGGGGCTAGGAAGTAGCTGCTCTCTCCTGGGGAGGTGGGAGGGAGAGAGGTCAGGAGAAACTTCTTTCCTTCCATCTAGTTTATCACTGAAGCCATGCTGTGGAAGATGGGGAGACTGAGAGGGAGAGATATACAGACAGAGACAGAGGGAGGGAGAGAACTAGAGACACTGAGGGAGACAAAGCCAGAAGGGGGAGGAGGAGGAGAGGGAAGGTGGGAGAAAGAGAGACACAGAGGGAGAGGAGGAGGAGGAGGAGAAGGGAGAGGGAGGAGGAGGGAGTGAGAGACACACAGAGAGGAGGAGGGAGAGAACGAGAGAGCCAGGGTGGTTTGTGTAGCAGGAGGAGAGGGAGAAACATCAGAATTGGCTTCGAGAAAGTCCAGGGAGAAGCCCCGCAACTTCATTACTGAAGAAGGAAGTGAGGCTGTGTCTAGAAGGGTGAGAGACAATACTTTCATGGTCTTTTATCAATCTCCCATTTCAAGGCAGAAGGGGGGGAGTGGGAAGACCATATCCAGCACACTCCAAAAGTCAAATCCTGTCCAGTAGTTTCCCAGCCTTACTCTTAGAAGTTAGTGAGGGCCAGCTGAGTGCCTGGTATGCGCACAGGTGTACAAAGTAGTGGCATGAGGACCGGGTCACCTGAGGAGTTAGTCCACCAGGCTTAGGCAGGGAGGCGAATTCAGTCGCAGTGGCGAAGGAGCAACGCTGTGCACGCGTGCACGCATGGAGTGCAGAAGACCAGGCAAGGAGAAGGAGGAGGAAAGAGGCAAGGATGGGGCCTCGGGAGGGCAGCGGGGTGGAGGGGAGCCGAGAGGAAGCAGGGCAGGAGGTGGGAATCGAGGACGAGGTGGGGGTAGGCTGTGGAGGGAAGGCGGCAAGGCGGGGCAGTGGTGGCTTGAGAGGGTGTGTGTATGTGCAGGGCGGGGGTGGCGGCGGCGAAGTGGACTGGAGGAGGGCCTAAGGTGGAGGGAGTTGACGACGAGGGGGAGGAGAGAGGGAGGGGAAACTGGAGGAAGCCAGCGGCGGCTGCTGGGGGAGGAAGGCAAGGAGGAGGAGCCGTGAGCCGCGGCGGTGGCGGCGGCTGCTGCGGCCGCCTGGGGAGCCCAGCCAAGTGCCGCCTGGGGCTTCAGGGAGTGCGAGGAGACGGAGCAATCCGTAGAGCCCGGGCGGCGGGGCCGAGCAGAGGGTGAGTGGAGCCCCGAGGGGACGCGGCGGCCGGTCCCCGGGGGCCGGACGAAGAGGAGCGGGAAGATGTGGCGGCGGGGCGGAGGGTGGCGGCCCCTAGGCTGGCCCCGCTTCCCCGCCCTCCCTCTCAGCTTCCTCCGGCCGCCCGCCTGCGCCTAGGGGGCTGGTCCCGGGAGGGCCGCGGGCTGAGGGTGGTGCCGGCCCGGAGGGCGGGCGTGAAGGGTTAGGGGGGTGGAGCTGGGGGCTCGAGGGTGTACCCGGGGGCGGGAGGCTGGACCGGGACCGCTCTAAATTGGCTGGAGAGGGGGCCCCGTCGGCGGCGAAGTTGCTAGCTGGGGGCAGAGACGGCCACGCGGTTGCAGGAGTAAGACATCCCCCTCTCGTGGAGTGCGTGAGACGAGGAGTCCGGCGTCCCTGCCTTCCCAGTCGCCCTCCCCGCCTGCCCGGCCCTGCTAGCTCCTCTCCTAGCCTCCGGTGTCCCTTCTCTCTCACCACCCCCTCTGCCACCCGCTTGGCTCCCTCGGCATTGCCGGGTCCCCTAGGTCCCCGCCCTGACCCTCTTGGCCTCCAACTTCCCTCGACCCCTGCTTGCTTGGCCACCACTCCCGTTCCCCTTTTCTTCCCTAGCTAGTTACCCTTCCCTGCTTCGTTAATTCCCGTGCAATTGCCTCTTTGAGACCTTTTTTTCCTCTCCTTCCTTTTAGATTGGCCAACGGCTCCTTTCAACCCTGCCTCGTTGGTGGCCACTGGAGAAGCGCGGGGGGCTCCCCAGACAGCCGTGGGGACAAGTTAGAGCCAGCACTTTACCCCGGGCCTCGCGTGTAGCTTTCCTTGCCCTGTTCTAGGTGGCCCAGTGTTCAGAGGGGGGGTGCGGGTGTGCCCTCCTTACATGTTCCACCGCCCGGGCAACCCTTCGGTCTCGTGTTCCATCTCGCTCTTGCTTCCTGTACCGTAGTCAAGTGGAACCACTTTGCATCATGTCCCGGTATAGCTACCAAAGTCTCCTGGACTGGCTCTATGGGGGTGTCGACCCCAGTTTTGCAGGCAATGGGGGCCCCGACTGTGCTGCCTTCCTGTCTTGGCAGCAGCGGCTGCTGGAAAGTGTGGTGGTCCTGACCCTGGCCCTGTTGGAGATCCTGGTGGCCCTGCGGCACATCCTGAGGCAGACGGAGGACGGTAGGGGTGGCCGTGGCAGCCAGCCACAGCAGGTGACCCAGCGGCCAGAGGAAGGCAAGGAGAGCCTGAGCAAGAATCTGCTCTTAGTAGCCCTGTGCCTGATCTTCGGGGTGGAGGTGGGCTTTAAGTTCGCCACCAAGACCGTCATCTACCTGCTCAACCCTTGTCACCTGGTCACCATGATGCATGTGAGTCTGTCGACTTTTTCCTGGGCAGCCTAAGTGATACGAGTAATTTGTGTGCTCAGGACACTAGTGTAGAGCACTTTGTCCCCGTGGGAAGTGGGACCCTTAAAATCATTTTCCAACCAACGGCTGCCTTTGTGCTAACTTCAGCGTTGCACAATGGGTCAGCCTACATTGGAGGTGAAGAGCCAAAGAAAGCCCCTCCTCCCCTCCCAGCCCTGCTGGGGCCTGGCCTTTTCCCCAGCAGGAAGTCCAGCCCCAGCTAGGTGCCCCTTCAGAATCACATCTGTGGCGCCTGCAGCCCTCTTGCAAAAGCAGTAGTTTCCCCGGGGCCTGGTTACATGCTTTCCTGCTTTCCTGGAGGTGTTCACACAAGCTTCCTTGTCTCCTCTGTGGTACATTGGGGAAATATTTTCAGGGGTATCTCTTAATGACTCTTTCATTTGGGAGCTTATGCTCTTAGGGCAGGGTCTGTCTGCTTTGGGGTTGTGAGAAGCTTGAGCAACCCAAAACTACTAAGAGCTCTCTGAACTCGGCCGGCCCCATGCTGACTTGTGAACTTTAGGTTGGGGATCTGGATAGGAGGTGAGACATTTTTTCAAACCCGATTCTCTGATTCTCTGTCCTATGGTCATGCTCCAAGGGTTCTCAGAGAGCTGATTTCTTTTGCTTTCCTGACCTCTATCCAAACAAACGGGATTGAAAGGGGAAATTGCCAGCTATGTACACATAATCTGTATGAGGACCAAAGAGTGAGACTTTCTTTACTCAGCCTGCTCAGGGATGTTCTGCAGCTATAAATTCATGTAGAACCAGGAGAAAAGGGAGAAAGGGAAAGCAATTAGGTCTTTTTAGATTCCAGGCTGTGGAAAGCTTGGTGTGTCTTTTTGGGGGTGGTTTTGAAGCCCGTCATTAACATCTTTATTGCTTTTATATTTGTTGAAGGATATTCTATGGAGAATTGTGACAACCCTGAATGGGCAGGAGGTTGAGATTATTATCCTTACTTTACAGCCCCTGTGGAGTTCAAGGATAGAGGTCACTTGCCTCAAGGCAAAAGATGGATTAGCATCTGGAAAGCAAAGCAAACTCTCCTTTGGAGTTGCAAGCCTTCAGTCCTAAACTTGGGGGTGCCAGAGGGTGTGAGGCCATCCTGTAGGACTTTGCTGTATACTTGTGGCTCATATCAATTAGTTGCTAGCTCTTTTCCTAGAAATCCATTTGCTTACACATTCTTGGCCTCAGTTTCTATAAAATGTGGAGAATGATCTTGGCTCCTTGGCATCTTGCGGATGGCAAGAAGGTGTAGATAGCTTTGGGACAAAGGGGATGTTATTGATTGGGTCACTAAAAGCATGGAGAAGTGATGGCTTGGGCAGCAGGTTTTTTTTTGTTTGTTTTTGAGAGGGCTTCTTGGGGAGGCACGCCATTCACAGTAAGTCCCGGGTTGTTCTAGCTAGAAATTCTGTGCAAATTTGACCAGTCCTCTTTCCTGTTTCTTTTGAAATGAATGGCCTTTTTGTTAATGAGAGGAAACAATGCCTCTGAGCTGCTGTCCTGTGTGCCTCTACAGACAGGAGTGCTTTTTTGTAGGAAGGCAGGTGGCGAGGGTTAGAGGGTGCCTCTACAAAGGGGTCTTGAGGCCTCTGGCAACTACAGATCTAGAAGGTCAACAAAGGGCTAAATTCAGCCTCACTGAGGCTGCTACTGGTGTGCTGACGTCAAACCTGGCAGCAACCGTGATTTTTTTTTTTAAGGAAAGATTTTAGAGGCTTTTAGAAGACTTCTGGAGACTGACTTCTGGAATTAATTAGTTGTATGACTTTAGGGTAAAGTCCCCTTTCAGGGCCTCAGTTTCTCTACCTGTAAGATGAGACAGAGTTGTAGCTCTTGACAGTCTGTTCTGTGATTCTTTGTCCCATAACTGATGGGAATATTACAAAGAGCTCCTTTGAAAGGCTTTTGACCTCCCTGTGCAAAAAAGGAAACTTGGTCCACCCTTTTGCTCCATATGGCTCCCAGTAAAGTAAAATTATTGAGGTGACCTTTGGGGTCACATGCTCTTGATGATGGATGGATAGATGTTTGGGGGACTGCAGGCTGATTTCTTGTCCTGTGTGGATTTTTTTTCTTAGTTTATGCCCTGAAGCTATAGGGCAGCCACAGAGATGGGAATCATGCAAATACATTCTTGCAGTGTCCTGTGGCTTGTACTCCTTTGTCCTCTGTCCCCAATCACTGCTTCGTAACCTACCTACTAAGGTCCTGGGCTTTGCATCCAACTTTCTAGTGCCTTCTGTGTGGCTCTTCCTTAGAAGCAGGATGGTATGAATTTTTGAAAGTTGATGAAAGTTGGTTAAAAAAATATTAACAACAGATGGTAGCAACCAGTGTTATGACTTGACTACACAAATGACTAATGATCGCTTGGAGGTCTACTAATACCTTGCATTTACTATTCATAGGCACTTTCGTATGCATTATCTTATTCAGGGTTGGGATAGATCAGCTTGGAGAAAAAGATGTTAAAATGTTTTCTGTGATTGCGTCTGTTGCAAAGGGGAGAGATTATGAAACGGGAAATGCTTTTGCAAATGAATTAGATGAATTAGGCTATAACGTCGTAACAGACCATGGACATTAGAAGTACTGACAAGGCCAGGGAGATGTCAGCTGAAGTGAAGGGGTTTCAAGGTGGACATGCTTATGTTTAATAGTGTCTCTGAATTCCATGACTCCGGTTCGGCTTTCTAGAAAGTTCTTTTCAAGTAGAGTCACTTTAAGTGTGTAACAAGGGCCATGTTACTTTAGGCCAGGAAGTAGAGGGGTTGGAGGGAAATTGGTTCCTTTCCTCGGCTCTCAGTTTTCAGCCTGCAAAATATTCATTTGCAACGCCTTGTTACACAGCCCCTCGTCGCAGCCATGCTGCCTTTGGGTGGCTGCCAACTGTAGTAACATAAGGAAGGGCATAACTTGTGTCTGAATTCTGTCCCTGATTAGCATTCCGGCTGTTGAGCTTCTTTTTGGTCTCATGTGATTTCTCTGAGGTTTGAGGATTGTAGACTGATAGTGGCTTGTAGGATTACATTAGTACCAGCCCACAGCTCAGTTCCAGCTGAAGATACAAGTGCCCAGGTTAGCACAGCATTATTAAACCCTGTGCTAAATATCAGGTCTGCCTGCCAACTACACCAATAAGGATTTCTTCAAGCATGGCCACTCAATCCCCTTTTGACCATGAATTTTGGCAAGTATGCATTACCGGGAATGAACTTACTTAGCCATCGGGCTGTTTACCAAAAATCTCCCAGCAACTTAGTGGCGCAGGTGGTTTTAAATCTCAGCTGCCACAGTGGGAATCTTGGATTAGTTCAGAAAGATTCTTGTAGCTGTTTAAGTCTGAAAAAAACTACAGTTTCTCAGCAAAAGAGTTAAAATGCCAGACAGGCTAGATGTGTTGCTGAGTGCCTGCAATCTCAGCACCAGAAGGTTTAGGTGGGAGGATGGCAAGTTCAATGCCAGTATGGCCTACATAATGATACTGTCAAATTGAAACCAAACAATGCAGTGTGGCTGATCGTGTCTGTAAAGAATAGGGATCTATGACTAACTTTAACCTCATTGGTTCTTTGTTTTCCTTCCCTCTTTCTTTAGTTTTTTTCAATATATCTTAGCTTGCTTTATTTTTCTTGAATCCGATTATGTTGTGTTTGTCTTAAGAACTTAATGAAAAGATCTCCTTTTCCATGCTTTGTTTAATTGCTAAATTTCTGTGGGTTCTGCGTGTGTCTGTGTTAACATCTGATTAGCCATTGAATTTGCAGTTTAATCTTCAATGTATGTACACATGAACCAGACCAGGCGTTTAACAAATTATAATTCATGATAATTGACCTGTAGCTTCCAGTCAGTATTTTATTTTTTAAAACTTTGTCAGCAATACTGAGCCCCCTCTTGTTTTGTAAATTTATTGTGTGTGTGTGTGTGTGTGTGTGTGTGTGTGTGTGTGTGTGTGTTTCTGTCTGCCTACACACATACCACAGTGCATATACAGAGGTCAGAGGACATCTTCCAGATGTTGGTTATCCTATATATCTCTGTGTCCTGGGAATTGAGCTCAGAATGTCAAGCTTGCATGGCAAGTGCTTTTATTCTGAGTCATCTCTGCAGCCTAGGTCTCTCTTTTTAGAATTGTGTTTGTTATTACCTGTTTTGTCTTACAAAATATATTAGAGGTTTGATTTCCACCAGATAGGGCTTGGGTTTGCTAAAGTTTAATCCCCCCTTTTCTGTCTTTCTCTCTTTTTCTTCTTTCTCACTCTTCTTTTCCCCCTCCCTCCCTGCCGTCCTCCCTCCCTTTCCTTCCTTCCACATGAGAACTCACCATGTAGCTCTCGTTGACCTGGAACTCACTTTGCGATGAAGCTAGCCTCAGACTCACAGACATCTGTCTGCTTCTGCCTTCCTAGTGATGGCAATAAAAATCTGGGACCCTTCATACTAAAAGTGATACATATATATGAGAAGATTCTGAACCCTTTTGGAAGAGTACTTGTTTTACATGCATGGAACCCTAGTTTTGAGCCCAGTACTTGATAAACCAGGCATGGTGGAATACGCCTTTAATCACAGTACTAGGGAGGTGAGACAGGAGGAATCAGAAGTTCAAGGTTATCTTCAGCTGAAAGCAAGATTAAGGCCATTCTGGGATATATAAGACCTGTCTCAAAAACATAAACAAAACAAAACTGAGCTTTTGGTGGTACCCTCTTTGACTTACTGAACACTCACTGGTATATTTTATTTTCCATATGATGGATTTGTTTTAGAGAAAACCAGACAAAGAGTTGAGAATGAGGCTTTCTCTTTCCATCTTGACTTCAGATGAGACACACCTCGCCAATCCCCATCTGTTGTCTGGAGTACTTATTACTGTCCCTACCTGGCATTGATATTTGTGGGTAATGGGTACAGTGAGGGATCCAATCATGTGCTAACAGCTT